AAGGGCCTGTTCCATCTCTGACCATAACCCATACTTCTTTTCCCGCCCGGGCGCAGACACCCACATCAGGGGATCAGACTCCCTACGCCAGGTAGCCAAAGAATGTGGTGCGGTGCATCCAGAGATGCTATCCTCAACCAAACTTAGAAAGCACATAGCTACTATGTCTACAGTTCTCAATATGAAAGAGAATGAGATGGACATACTTGCCAACTTCCTCGGCCATGACATTCGCATCCACAGGCAATATTACAGACTACCAGAGGGGACACTGGAGCTGGCCAAAATCAGCAAAGTGTTGATGGCCATGGAGCAGGGAAGAGTGACGGAATTCGAAGGAAAGAGCCTCGACCAGATACAAATTGAGCCTGAAGGTAATTCTTGATATTATTAAAATATGTATGATTTTTTTCCCCTAAAGGCCACTTGTATTTTTATTTTCTGTGCGACAGGGAGAGCAGTAGAGATCCTCTCACAAACGGACGGGCTAAAAGAAACTTCAAGCGGAGAACCTTCAACCATTCATCCAGATGCACCCCATGGTAGTGGCAGTGCCCCTTCTGGTAAGTGTACCAGGTGGGGGATTACAGCCAGGCTGCTTGGTCCTCACCCTGGGAGTGTATATTGCTAATATATTTTTATTTCTCTCCCTAGAACGTGTAAGAAAGCCATGGTCTGCATCTGAGGTGAAGGCTGTGGAGAAGACCATGACACCTTTCATACAGACTGGAAAGGTCCCTGGGAAGTCTCACTGCCTGGCCTGCATTAATGCCTCACCAGATGACCTTAGACATCGGACATGGAGTGGCATTAAATTCTATGTCAAAAATAGAATCACTGCAATTCGAAAACAAAATCTAAAATAAAATTCCTTTAAAATAGTTGTTTGGTTTCTATTGACTGTTTTGTATTACTTAAAGTCTTGGTAAAAAAAGATTATGTCTATGGGTCCCATTCTGAACGGCCCTGTCAAAGGGACCCACCAGGTAACAAAAACGTGTATGTGTGTGTGTGTATGTGTGTGTGTGTGTGTGTGTGTGTGTGTGTGTGTGTGTGTGTGTGTGTGTGTATGTGTGTGTGTGTGTGTGTGTGTGTGTGTGTGTGTATGTGTGTGTGTGTTTCCTCCGGTTGAAGGTCAGATCTCTTTAATCTGGCCTGTAGTCGACAGATGGAGCTGGTGCTAAATCTTTTTAATGTAACTGCACAGTGTCCTAATAAACCAGCAGGAGGCCAGTCCCTGTGATCCTCAGAGTCCCAGCAGGAGGCCAGTCCCTGTGCTCCTCAGAGTCTCAGCAGGAGGCCAGTCCCTGGAGGCCTCTCTTCTCCCTCCTCTCGCTCCTTTCTCTTCTCTCTCCTCTCTCTCCTCCCTCCTCTCTCTCCTCTCTCCCCTCTCTCCTCTCTCTCCCCTCTCTCCTCTCTCTCCCTCCTCTCTATCCTCTCTCCTCTCTCTCTCCTCCCTCCTCTCTCTCCTCTCTCCCCTCTCTCCTCTCTACTCTCTCCTCTCTCTCCTCTCTCCCCTCTCTCCTCTCTCCCCTCTCTCCTCTCCTCTCTCTCCTCTCTCCTCTCTCTCCTCTCTCCTCTCTCTCCTCTCTCTCCTCTCTCCTCTCTCTCCTCTCTCCTCTCTCTCCTCTCTCATCTCTCTCCTCTCTCCTCTCTCTCCTCTCTCTCCTCTCTCCCCTCTCCCCTCTCTCCTCTCTCCTCTCTCCTCTCTCCTCTCTCTCCTCTCTCCTCCCTCAGGTCAGAAGGTCCTGTTTATTCTGTCATTACTGAGGCTCCAAAACACGACCCTCTCTGACCTCCTGTTGGAACGGTTAAAAATACAAAGTTGTTTTCTTTTAATAATTAATTTTCCCTTTGGTTCTATTTCACAATCTGACTTTTGTCCCTTGGGGGGTCATGGGTTGGGGGGTGGGGGGTGGGGGTCACATGTCTATAGTCTGATTGCAGATAACGCAAGATGCTTTTAGTTGTTTGCCTTGGCCTTAAACTTGATCTTGAGAATCTTGTCTTTTATATGAAATATGTCCAACATTTATAAAGCTCCTCTCTGTGATTGTGAGAGCGAGGGAGCAGAAGAAGGAAGGACCAGAAAGCACCAATGTCAAAACAATAATGATTTATGATCATGTTGGAATAAAATAACAGTCCAGGAACAGGGACAGACATTGACAATGGACCAGCACCCTATTAGGACGAGCTCCAGGGACAGAGACAGAGACTGAGACACAGAGGACAAAGACACAGAGACATAGGGGCCAGAGACAGAGACACAGAGGACAAAGACACAGAGACATAGGGGCCAGAGACAGAGACATAGGGGCCAGAGACAGAGACACAGAGGACAAAGACACAGAGACATAGGGGCCAGAGACAGAGACCTAGGGGACAAAGACACAGAGACAGAGACATAGGGGCCAGAGACAGAGACATAAGGGACAAAGACACATAGTTCAGAGACAGAGACACATGGGACAGAGACAAAGACAGAAGGGACAGGGACACATGGGACAGAGACATAGGGGACAGAGTTATGATAAGATAAACAGGAGGAGACAGAGACACGGAGACAGAGGTAGAGACATGGGGGACAGAGGTAGAGACATGGGGGACAGAGGTAGAGACATGGGGGACATAGATAGAGACATGGGGGACAGAGGTAGAGACATGGGGGACAGAGATAGAGACATGGGGGACAGAGGTAGAGACATGGGGGACAGAGGTAGAAACATGGGGGACAAAGGTAGAGACATGGGGACAGACATAGGGGACAGAGACACAGGAGACGGAGACAACCCCAGAGAACTCCTAACAAACACCCATGACATGGTGTGAATCCACTGTGACCATGAAGGAGCCAGGAGCCACACCTGCCACAGCTACAGTCATAATGATCACCGAGGTGCATTTGAACGGAAAAGTGCCTGCAGTGCATCCGGCGGCCTGCAGGGGGTCTGTCTCCGTCTGTCTCTATGTTTAGCCCAGAGGGGGGGAAAAATGGACTTTGCAGCATCAGCAAAACAGAAACTGGATACACTCAGTCCCCTGTTCCTCTGCAGCAGGAGGAGGACGGAGGAGGTCCAGGATTTAACCACATTTATGGACATTGGTCTCTGCTCCTCATGGATCCGTGTCTCTCTGTGTTTGTTATCATTTCACTTGATTCTCTGATCTGTGTTGGAGAATCGACAGCTTTGTGAAGTCCTCAATACTGTTGGGATTTAGGGCGATACAAGAATACATTGAATTGAACTTAGTTTGGTGTCCTTAATGCCTGGCGTACATCGGACTGGCAATTGATTATATCCGTCGCCTACGAGTCGCAAAAACGGGCAACTCCTAGTATCAGGCCAGTCTCGGGAATAACAGCAACTGGCCTCAACTACAGTGTGTTTTCTGACATAAACTGTAGAGGGCGCAATACACGCAATACACACATGTTGTTGGAGCACATCGGGTGATATCTCCGGATCTGAGGACAACTAGTTGCCGAAAAGTAGAACACGGGCAACTGACTGAAACCGGAGATCGACTGTTTATCTCCAGTTGTAAGAGCGATTTCAACTGATCATCTCCATCATCTACTCTCAGTCGCCAAAAGCCGCCTTGCAACTAGTCGTCTCCAGTTACTCTGTCGATGTACGCGAGGCTTAACAGTTCAAGACCAATCATTTAAAAAAAAATATTTATTTCCAAATTAATACAATTAATCATTTAAATTGTGGACAGTTGCATGAGTATAACAATTACACACTCTGCAAAAAATGATGAAATAATTCCTGAATTTCTCCATTGTGACCTCAGTAAAGTATACCTCATCTCAAATATTAGGTAATAGTGTTTTTTATCTTAATCTGAAACATTATGACAAAACCAGATTCCAATGGGACAAAGACATTCAGTCATATTTTAAGAACTGTTACTTTATTTCCTTACTCCATTTTCTGTGTAATTTTACAACATTCACTTTGTCCCTTTGGAGAGTCAGAATGTCCTCTGTGTCCCTCTCTCTTTGGTCTCTCTATGGTCCTCTCTGTGGTCCTCTCTGTGGTCTCTCTATGGTCTCTCTGTGGTCTTCTGTGGTCTCTCTATGGTCCTCTCTGTGGTCTTCTGTGGTCTCTCTGTGGTTCTCTCTGTGGCCTCTCTGTGGTCTCTCTAAGGTCCTCTCTCTATGGTCTCTCTATGGTCTCTCTGCGGTCTCTCTGTGGTCTCTCTGTGGTCCTCTCTGTGGTCTCTCCGCGGTTTCTCTGCGGTCCTCTCTGTGGTCTCTCTGTGGTCTCTCTGTGGTCCTCTCTGTGGTCTCTCTGCGGTCTTTCTGTGGTCTCTCTTTGGTCTCTCTGTGGTCCTCTCTGCGGTCTCTCTGTGGTTCTCTCTGTGGCCTCTCTGTGGTCTCTCTAAGGTCCTCTCTCTATGGTCTCTCTGTGGTCTCTCTGCGGTCTCTCTGCGGTCCTCTCTGTGGTCTCTCTGTGGTCTCTCTGCGGTCCTCTCTGTGGTCTCTCTGTGGTCTCTCTGTGGTCCTCTCTGTGGTCTCCCTGCGGTCCTCTCTGTGGTCTCTCTGTGGTCCTCTCTGTGGTCTCCCTGCGGTCCTCTCTGTGGTCTCTCTGTGGTCCTCTCTGTGGTCTCTCTGTGGTCCTCTCTGTGGTCTCTCTGTGGTCCTCTCTCGTGTGGAGCAGACGTGCAGAGAGAAGCATAGCATGGAGTGCCCTGCCCCCTCTGTTCCGTGAGGTCACAGGGGGCGGGACTTCCTGTTCTGTTTGTAAATACTGTTATATAAATAAATGGGGTGAGGTCAGGACGCTGCATCGTCGCTGGATCAGATTAGTGCAAACTTTATGTAACTAGATTACTGTGAATTTAAAATATGGATTTAAATCATGATTAATTTGGTTCTTTTTCATAAAGACGAGAATACTGACGCTACTGTTGCAACAAAAGGATCTTACTCTATACACAGTTATGACTACAGATGCTGATGTGTGTTGTTGTGTGTTTTTGTGTTGCAGTTGCTGAGACCAGAGGAGGTGGAGATGCTGGTGTGTGGGAGTCCAGAGCTGGACCTGAGCGCTCTGCAGAAGGCGGCGCAGTACGAAGGCTACAGCAGGAACGACTGCACTGTGAGGTCAGAACCAGCAACACCACACCAGCAACACAACATCACCAACACTCACACTATCAACACAACACCACCAACACAACACCAGCAACACCACACCATCAACACAACACCAGCGATACTCACAACATCAACACTACACCATCAACACCACACCATCAAATGAACACAATCAACACAACACCAGCAACAGCACACCAGCAGCACCACACCATCAACACAACACCACCAACACTCACACCATCAACACCACACTCAGACCAACATCACACCAGCAACACCTGCCGCAACCCAGCAACACTTACACCATCAACAAAACACTAGCAACACCAGCAAAAACAAACCGTCAACACAGAGGCGGCGGTGCCGTGGGCGGCACGGTGGCTGAGTGGATAGCACTCTCGCCTCTCAGCAAGAAGGTCCTGGGTTCAAATCCCGGTCGGACCAGGGCCTTTCTGAGTGGAGTTTGCATGTTCTCCCCGTGTCTGCGTAGGTTTCCTCCGGGTACTCCGGTTTCCCCTACCGCTAAAAATATGTACAATAGGTCTGGCATGCGCCTCCTGTTCTGGCCCCGCTCCCATCTCTGTGTGGAGTGAGAGACAAATGCCCAAAAATTAACAATTGTAAACCGCTTTGAGACTCAGATCTGCAGTGAAAAGGCGGTATATAAATGATTACTTACTTACTTACACCAGCAACACTCACACCATCAACACAACACCAGAAACATTCACACCATCAACATCACACCAGCAACACTCACACCATCAACTTCATACCAGCAACACTCACATTATCAGGGGCCAAAAGAATAAATTATAGTTGTTTTATTTTTATATTATGATAGTGTACATTTTAAACAAGGGCCAAATGTTTGATCCAAGCATCGACTTCCTCTGATGGTTTGGTTCTGGATCTTCTTTAAAACCAAACCATCAATAACAAACCATGTGTATGTTTTCTGGTCAGGTGTTTCTGGGATGTGGTTCTGTCGTTTCCTCTGGAGCTGCAGAAGAAGCTGCTGCACTTCACCACCGGCAGTGACCGAGTCCCTGTGGGCGGAATGTTAGACCTCAACTTTAAAATCTCTAAGATCGACGTCTCCACGGACTGGTGAGTGTCCCAGCTCTATGTGCAGACCATGTGCAAGGACCAGGAACCAGTAGCAAGTGGTATCGAACGGCCCTCGCAGGAACAGTGTTGGGGGAGACTCCTGGTGTTGAGGTAGTCTCCTGGTGTTGGGGGAATCTCCTGGTGTTGAGGTTGTCTCCTGGTGTTGAGGTAGTCTCTTGGTGTTGGGGGAGTCTCCTGGTGTTGGGGGAGTCTCTTGGTGTTGGGGGAGTCTCCTGGTGTTGGGGGAGTCTCCTGGTGTTGAGGTTGTATCCTGGTGTTGAGGTAGTATCCTGGTGTTGGGGGAGTCTCCTGGTGTTGGGGGAGTCTCCTGGTGTTGGGGGAGTCTCTTGGTGTTGGGGGAGTCTCCTAGTGTTGGGGGAGTCTCCTGGTGTTGGGGGAGTCTCCTGGTGTTGGGGGAGTCTCCTGGTGTTGGGGGAGTCTCCTGGTGTTGAGGTAGTCTCTTGGTGTTGGGGGAGTCTCCTGGTGTTGGGGGAGTCTCTTGGTTTTTTTGGGGAGTCTCCTGGTGTTGGGGGAGTCTCTTGGTGTTGGGGGAGTCTCCTGGTGTTGGGGAGTCTCTTGGTTTTTTGGGGAGTCTCCTGGTATTGGGGGAGTCTCTTGGTGTTGGGGGAGTCTCTTGGTGTTGGGGGAGTCTCCTGGTGTTGGGGGAGTCTCCTGGTGTTGAGGTAGTCTCTTGGTGTTGGGAGAGTCTCCTGGTGTTGGGGGATTCTCCTGGTGTTGAGGTTGTATCCTGGTGTTGAGGTAGTATCCTGGTGTTGGGGGAGTCTCCTGGTGTTGGGGGAGTCTCTTGGTGTTGGGGGAGTCTCCTGGTGTTGGGGGAGTCTCTTGGTGTTGGGGGAGTCTCCTGGTGTTGGGGGAGTCTCCTGGTGTTGAGGTAGTCTCTTGGTGTTGGGGGAGTCTCTTGGTTTTTTTGGGGAGTCTCCTGGTGTTGGGGGAGTCTCTTGGTGTTGGGGGAGTCTCTTGGTGTTGGGGGAGTCTCCTGGTGTTGGGGGAGTCTCCTGGTTTTGGGGGAGTCTCCTGGTGTTGGGGGAGTCTCTTGGTTTTTTGGGGAGTCTCCTGGTATTGGGGGAGTCTCTTGGTGTTGGGGGAGTCTCTTGGTGTTGGGGGAGTCTCCTGGTGTTGGGGGAGTCTCCTGGTGTTGGGGGAGTCTCCTGGTGTTGAGGTAGTCTCTTGGTGTTGGGAGAGTCTCCTGGTGTTGGGGGAGTCTCCTGGTGTTGAGGTTGTATCCTGGTGTTGGTGGAGTCTCCTGGTGTTGGTGGAGTCTCCTGGTGTTGGGGGGTCTCCTGGTGTTGGGGGAGTCTCCTGGTGTTGGTGGAGTCTCTTGGTGTTGGGGGAGTCTCCTGGTGTTGGGGGAGTCTCCTGGTGTTGGGGGAGTCTCCTGGTGTTGGGGGAGTCTCCTGGTGTTGGTGGAGTCTCCTGGTGTTGGGGGAGTCTCCTGGTGTTGGTGGAGTCTGATTGTAGAAACAGCGAATAAAGTACCATAAACTTAAGCACCATAAACAGGAAGTAGGTCGAGTCAGAGTGAGCACGTCTCAATACGTGTTGTAGACTGCGTACCTGACACGTGTGGTAAATGCACAATCATTTTATTACCATGTGAGAAACAGGAAGTCACAAACCAGGAATTTACTTTGGCTCAAAGTACAAGCAATAGACAATCTCTATGGTGCTGTGGTACCATCGTGTGCTTACTGTGAGTTTTCTGCATATGGTACCAGAGAGAGACCTCCAGAGAGAGACCAGAGAAAGAGACCAGAGAGAGAGAACAGAGAGAGACCAGAGAGACCTCCAGAGAGAGACCAGAGAGAGAGACCAGAGAGAGACCAGAGAGAGACCAGAGAGAGACCTCCAGAGAGAGACCAGAGAGAGAGACCAGAGAGAGACCTCCAGAGAGAGACCAGAGAGAGAGACCAGAGAGAGACCAGAGAGAGACCTCTGGAGAGAGACCAGAGAGACCTCCAGAGAGAGACCTTCAGAAAGAGATCAGAGAGAGACCAGAGACAACCAGAGACTTCCAGTTTAATCCTGTAGAACTTTTAAATAACTGAATGAATAAATGTAGATTTGCTCATGTGAACTCTAACTTATGTCTAACTTCTCAGGCTGCCCATCTCCCACACCTGCTTCAACCAGATCTGTCTGCCGCCGTATCGTACCAGGAAGGAGCTCAAGCACAAGCTGACCATCGCCATCTCCAACGCCGAGGGCTTCGGCCTGGAGTGACTCATCTTATTTATAAACCAGCCCTGGTCACCTGGTCACATGGTCACCTGTGTTCACCTGGTCACCTGTGTTCACCTGGTCACCTGTGTTCACATGGTCACCTGTGTTCACCTGGTCACCTGTGGTCACATGGTCACTGGTCAGTGACTGGGGCTTCCTCACAGCTCTTTAATTTTGCACATTTGTGATATTTGTAGTTTGTAAAGATGTTTGGTGAGACGGGACTGGACTGGGACTGGAAGAGGACTGGATGGGGGACTGGACTGGGACTGGAGGGGGAGTGGACTGGGACTGGACTGGACTGGATGGGGGACTGGACTGGGACTGGATGGGGACTGGACTGGGACTGGAGGGGGAGTGGACTGGGACTGGATGGGGACTGGATAGGGACTGGACTGGGACTGGAGGGGGACTGGACCGGGACTGGACTGGGCCTGGACTTGGACTGGATGGGGACTGTAGTGGGACTGGAGGGGGAGTGGACTGGGACTGGATGGGGACTGTAGTGGGACTGGAGGGGGAGTGGACTGGGACTGGATGGGGACTGGACTGGGACTGGAGGGGGAGTGGACTGGGACTGGATGGGGACTGGACTGGGACTGGAGGGGGAGTGGACCGGGACTGGACTGGGCCTGGACTTGGACTGGATGGGGACTGTAGTGGGACTGGAGGGGGAGTGGACTGGGACTGGATGGGGACTGGACTGGGACTGGAGGGGGAGTGGACTGGGACTGGATGGGGACTGGATAGGGACTGGACTGGGCCTGGACTTGGACTGGATGGGGACTGTAGTGTTGTTATGATGTGGGTGTGAAGGGGACAACCGGAGGGAGAATTGTATTATTGATTTTTTATTTCTGTTTGACATTGTGGCCAAAGAATCGGCTGCAGCAGATGTGCACTGCGGGAGGGATCACTCCAGGACCAGAACCAGAGCTAGTCCTGGGCCAGAACCAGTCCAAAACCAAAAATAGAAGAAGTCACACAGTTTTGAAGACCAAAAACGTACATAAGCATTTGTTACACTTCCAAAGAGAAAGACGTCAGATTGACTGCTGAGTCCTGGTGTTTGGTCGCTGGTACAGAGCAGTAACAGAACAGTCCTCTCCCGCAGTGCTGCCGTGATACAGGACTGAAGAACGGTCCGGTGATGTGTATCTGTTGTGTATCAGTTGTGTGTCTCTGAGACGTGTTGTAATCACAATGATTTGTGTCAACATAAAAACAGCTTCTTCTAAAAGTGTCTTTTTGTTTGAGGCGACAGTCAGTGAAGATCATCTCTCTCTCTGGTCTCTATCTCTGGTGTCTCTCTGGTCTGGTGTCTCTCTGGTGTCTCTCTGGTCTCTGATGTCACTCTGATCTCTGTTGTCTCTCTGGTCTCTGCTCTCTCTCTGGTCTTTCTCTGGTTTCTCTCTCTGGTTTCTCTCTAGTCTCTCCGGTCTCTTTTCTCTCTCATCTCTCTCTGGTCTCTCTCTATAGTCTCTTCTCTCTCTGGTCTCTGCTCTCTCTCTGGTCTCTCTCTGGTTCTTTTCTCTCATCTCTCTCTGGTCTCTCTCTAGTCTCTTTTCTCTCTGGTCTGAGAGATAAAACATGGATAATGATAATTTCAGTTCTTTGCAGTTACAACAGATGGAAATATTCCATAACGGTTCAGTGCACAAACCATGTGTTGTATTTAGTATTGTATTTATTTATTTACCTGTATACAGTATATATAGCATCATAAGCTAAATTTAGTTTGTATTGAGATATTTGGGAAGGTAACGTCAAAGTAATGCAGTAGAGTAATACTTTACAATCATAGACAGTAATATTGCAGTAACACAATACTTTACAACAACACATCATGTGTTACTGACTCTGGCTCTTTCACTGCGATGTTTTTTTCCAGATCAAGTTCAATCTGAGACATTTTGGAAACCGTGACAACATGAAAAGGCAAATACTTCCTTATGTCACACTTCTCTTCCTCTGCATCCTTCTGTCACAGATCCATGAGAGGATTCAAGTCCAAACAAACAACAAAGTAGGTCAGAGATGAGGGCCCCATGTTCCTAGGCAACCCCTGCTTCTCCTGGGGGCCCCTGCTTCTCGGGGCCCCACAGAACCGCATTCACACAAACACTGGGCTCATGTTCAACCATCCTGGTCTTCCATCCAGTGAAGTCCTGGTCCCAAACCGGTCAGACGAAAGGTGGACAGAGGAGCAGAGGGTAGAGGAGAGAGAGGAGCAGAGGAGAGAGAGGAGCAGAAGACAGAGGAGCAGAGGACAGAGAGGAGCAGAGGGTAGAGGAGAGAGAGGAGCAGAGGAGAGAGGACAGAGAGGAGCAGAGGAGCAGAGGGTAGAGGAGAGAGAGGAGCAGAGGAGAGAGGACAGAGGAGCAGAAGACAGAGGAGCAGAGGACAGAGAGGAGCAGAGGGTAGAGGAGAGAGAGGAGCAGAGGGTAGAGGAGAGAGCGGAGCAGAGGAGAGAGGGCAGAGGAGCAGAGGACAGAGAGGAGCAGAAGGTAGAGGAGAGAGGAGGAGCAGAGGAGAGAGGGCAGAGGACAGAGAGGAGCAGAAGAGCAGAGAGGAGGAGCAGAGGACAGAGAGGAGCAGAGGCTAGATGCAAAGAAGTGTCCTGGTTTAGGACCCTGTGGACCTCAGACTTCTTTTGCCAAAACCTTTGATGTTGCATATTTGCAACATTTGGTGCCACAGGGTTAAAGCTCCTTTACTGAACTAGTGGAAAGTGTAAAGTCAATATCCTCGTTAAAGAACGGTCTGGAGGCGCACCAAAGCAGTTTGAGTACGCCTCTAACTTAGAGATGTGTGCGTCTCTATCTTAGAGATGTGTGCGTCTCTATCTTAGAGATGTGTGCGCCTCTAACTTAGAGATGTGTGCGTCTCTATCTTAGAGATGTGTGCGCCTCTAACTTAGAGATGTGTGCGTCTCTATCTTAGAGATGTGTGCGTCTCTATCTTAGAGATGTGTGCGTCTCTTGAAAATCTAGGGGTCCTAAGGGTTTGAAAACCCTTAGGACTGTTGAGAGTTTTCCTTTGGTGTGAACTCCACTTTTTGAACAAAACTCTCTGATCTTATTGGACGAGCACGTATCATTAGAATGATTGACAGTTGTGAGGACCAATAGTCTTAATGATCCACCAGGAAGTAGAAAACCCTCCTCTATCCCTTTAAACCCGCTAACTTTCCAAGTCACTCTTCGTTGGGACAAATTCTCTGTTTTCTGGTTCCTCCACTTTTTAACCATGCTCTTAAACAAAACAATGTCATGTCTAGATGTGAAAAGCTGCGCCTGAACAGATTCAGCACAGAGTGTTTTTAAAAAACTGGGATGAGGCTAAAAACACCTGCGGGTCGGTGTGTGCGGACAGAACACCAGTGAAACATGCTGCACAGGAAACTTAGAGCAGTTTAAATATAGAAGTCTTTATGTGAGGACTGTGTTTACCCCGAAGGAATGTGGAGCAAAGACACTCAGGGAGGGGGAGGGATGGAGAGGGGGAGGGAGGGGAGGGAGAGATGGAGAGGGAGAGGGAGGGATGGAGAGGGGGAGGGAGGGGAGGGAGAGATGGAGAGGGAGGGATGGAGAGGGAGGGAGAGGGGGAGGGAATGTTGCTTTGGAACAGTGTTTATGGTTTGATCCTGGTCCAGACCAGAGACGACAGGATTCATGGTCCAACCAAGAGGATCAAGCAGAAAATCCACTGGAGAAATGTTTTTGGAAAAATGCAGAATTTCACTCTGAACCAGAACAGAGAAAGTGGTCTGAAACCATCAGACTGCAGAATATCAACATTTTACAGTTTACTCTTTATTATCACCTGTGTCCTTCCTCTTCACCTGTGTCCTTCCTCTTCACCTGTGTCCTTCTTCTTCACCTGTGTCCTTCCTCTTCACCTGTGTCCTTCTTCTTCACCTGTGTCCTTCTTCTTCACCTGTGTCCTTCTTCACCTGTGTCCTTCCTCTTCACCTGTGTCCTTCTTCTTCACCTGCGTCCTTCTTCTTCACCTGTGTCCTTCTTCACCTGTGTCCTTCCTCTTTACCTGTGTTCTTCCTCTTCACCTGCATCCTTCCTCTTCACCTGCGTCCTTCCTCTTTACCTGCGTCCTTCCTCTTCACCTGTGTTCTTCCTCTTCACCTGCGTCCTTCTTCACCTGTGTTCTTCCTCTTCACCTGTGTTCTTCCTCTTCACCTGTGTTCTTCCTCTTCACCTGTGTCGTTCCTCTTCACCTGCGTCCTTCTTCACCTGTGTCCTTCCTCTCACCTGTGAGTGGGTAAAGATTCGTGGAGAGTTTTGCTCCAGCTGTTAGTCCACAGAGGTCAGAAGTCTATTGTTTGTTTTTATAAAGAGAAAATGGTCAATAAAGTGAATGTGAACCTGAGCCTGGAGCAGCTCAGAGTGTGTGTCTGTGTGTGTGCATCTGTGTGTGTGCGTCTGTGTCTGTGTGTGTGTGTGTGTGAGAGTGTGTGTGTGTGTGTGTGTGTGTGTGCGTGCTGATGCCTCTGAGGCCGAGACCGTTCTGAGGTAAATACTTCTGACCAAACTGAGGCCCCGTTTATACGGAGACAATGCGGCAGTAAAACACTGTTCAGGTGAAAACGTAAGAGTTCAGATCCAGCCTCAGAGTGGGACAGCTCAGATACGCTGCTCAGCGAGGACTCTTTCACACCCGCGTGAGGGAAAAAGGTGTGAATTATCTGCCTGATCTGACTCCCACTTCTCCACACGTACATTTGGACATGCGCAGTAGCTGAGAACAAACGTAAACAAAAATGGCGACGGGTAGACTAACTAGCTCCGTGTGCTTCAAGGATAATTCTACTCCTTTGTTCAAACGAAACCACGCAAAGCTCTAGGTTCAGTTTCCATTTTCGCAGCTGCTGTTAAATGCAGAATGATGTTGGTGCATTTTTTCAGGTCTTTGCGGCGCCTGAGTAGGATGTTGTTGAGGAAGTGAATATATTGCAGGGAAGGGGGGCTGGGGATTGCGTGTTTCGTGTTGTAAAGTTCCTCTGCCCACTACTGGCTGGGCGCTAGAACTTCATCGTTTTTCATCCTCGTATGAACGCTGTGAAATTTGCATAAGGACCCTGGTCGTTTCTGTTAATAGCTTGGCAACGTCTGCGCAGCACCTCCCTCTAAACAGGGCCGTAGTTACTCTGACCAGGGTTTCTTATCTTGGACCAGCCTCTTCCCCTTCCTCCTCCTCCTCCACCTACTTTGCCTCCTCCTCCTCCTTCTACAGCTGTAAATAACAGAATCCAGAATGTTCTCCTGTGCTCTTCGTCTTCTACTGAAAGTCTGGACTTGTTCAAACACAGACGGTGCCAACTCTAACCACACAATACTCTGAGTATCTTTAATATCTTTAATCACACGTGTGTCGACAGAACTGCTGCACAAACACTCGGGTTTAGGGTCTGGGAAGTAAGAGAGTCAGAGACACTGACACTTCAGAACGTTGTTATAACTACTGCAGATGTTATTCCACAACCTAAGAATGATAATAATCTTTTTTATCAAGAGCCGGAGTGACTCTCAGTCAAACACCAACACCGTCCTCTGTACTCAGTCAAAAATACAATTGTTTAATTTAGTTCTGTTTTATTCCTATTTGTAAACATTTACATTTTGTATTTGTTTTCATATTAAGGATGATTCATCTTCAATCAATGAAATATAGATTAGAAGCAAACGCCTGTTTGGATCCTTGTTAAAGAGGATTTAGGACATGAGTTCCCAAACTTTTTAGCCCACAACCCCTATGATAAATGCAGGGTCTGTGTATATTTATGTATATGTGTGTGTGTGTGTGTGTATGTGTGTATATTTGCGTGTATGTGCATATTTATGTGTGTGTGGGTGTGTAGAGGATCACCTGCTTCCACATATTTATGTATCAGTGACAGCACCATGAGCCGACAGCTGATGTAAGCCCTCACACACCTCTGAGCACAGGGACCTGAGAGCCTCACACACCTCTGAGCACAGGGACCTGAGAGCCTCACACACCTCTGAGCACAGGGACCTGAGAGCCTCACACACCTCTGAGCACAGGGACCTGAGAGCCTCACACACCTCTGAGCACAGGGACCTGAGAGCCTCACACACCTCTGAGCACAGGGACCTGAGAGCCTCACACACCTCTGAGCACAGGGACCTGAGAGCCTCACACACCTCTGAGCACAGGGACCTGAGAGCCTCACACACCTCTGAGCACAGGGACCTGAGAGCCTCACACACCTCTGAGCACAGGGACCTGAGAGCCTCCTGAGCTGTGCTGCTCTTTCCTTTACAATATTGTTCTTGATAAAAAAAATAGTTTGATGTATCTCTCTGGCTCTACATGGAGCTAAAGTCTTCAAAAGTTTCTAAAATCTCCATAAGGAGCTAAAGTCTCCAAAAGGTGCTAAAGTCTCCATAAGGTGCTAAAGTATCCATAAGGTGCTAAAGTCTCCATGCAGTGCTAAAGTCTCCATAATATGCTTAAGTATCCATAAGGTGCTAAAGTCTCCATAAGGTGCTAAAATCTCCATAAGGTGCTAAAGTCTCCATAAGGTGCAAAAATATCCATAAGGTGCTAAAGTCTCCATAAGGTGCTAAAATCTCCATAAGGTGCTAAAGCCTCCATAAGGTGCAAAAATATCCATAAGGTGCTAAAGTCTCCATAAGGTGCTTAAGTCTCCATAAGGTGCTAAAGTCTCCATAAGGTGCTAAAGTCTCCATAAGGTGCTAAAATCTCCATAAGGTGCTCAAGTCTCCATAAGGTGCTCAAGTCTCCACATGGTGCTAAAGTCTGAAAACTCACTGCTCAGACCCTAGATTACGAAGTATCATTATCTTTAAACTAGTAAAATAATCTTATGACAAACTTCATTCAAGAAACAAAAATGTAAAATTAATGTATGTTTTTTGTTGTGTTTGTGTGTATAGATTGTGTAGTAACAAAGCGTCAGAGTGTGTTCAGTTGTTCAGATCATGTTTAGCAGTGACACAGATATGACAGGACCCCACAGCACACAACAAAAACATTTAAAGAGCTTTTTGCGTCGGGGAGAGTCTGTTTAAATGTCTGCTCAGCCACATTCAGGGTAATGTGGCTGTAAATATCAATGTAGTGTAACTATCACTCTGCACCTTATTCAAAGTATGGAGGACCGTGGCTGCCAAAACAATGAATATATACAGAAATAAATAAATAAATTAAAAAAAGATAAAATTTGCAAAGAAATGCATGCAAGTATGAGAATAAGTGCATTTATTTCTGTATTTATTTATTTATTTTTGTATTTCTGTATTTATATTTGTATTTATTCATTTATTTCTCTATTTATTTATATCTCTATTTATTTATTTCTCTATTTATTTATTTATTTATTTTTGCATTTATTTATTTATTTATTTTTGCATTTATCTATTTATTTTTCTATTTATTTATTTATTTTTGCATTTATTTATTTATTTTTCTATTTATTTATTTATTTTTGCATTTATTTTTTATTCCTCTATTTATTTATTTTTTTCTCAATTTATTTCTCTTTTTCTGTATTTATTTCTGTATTTCTGTATTTATTTCTGTATTTATTTCCGTATTTCTCTTAATGATATGCAAATCATGGGGTGGGCCGGGATGCCTCTGCTGTCAGCTCATTGGTTAATCTTTTTCCTTGCTCCATAGCTTGTCCAGCATAGGCGGTCATGTTGAGATCACAGTGTTCTCGCTATAGCCATGTCAGAACGAAAAAATAAATATACAAATCTCAAGCATTCTTCCATATGCAACAATTGCATTGTGTGTGTGTGTGTGTGTTTTTTTTTTATACAAATAAGTAAATTATCCTTTGCTCTGTGTCGCTGAACAGCCTCCATTTTGGAGTGGTAAACGGTTGCATGTTGGACCTCAAGCATATCTAGTTGGGGACTGCTGTGCTATGTTGCCACAGTAACAACTATTAGCTAGCCAAACAAGTCAGAGACGCGTGATAGAAATGGATTCGCTTTGGAGGGAAATTTCTGATGAGCTGAAAAGACTGGCGGACAGGCATACGAGAGACTGTAGTATTGACTATATTATTTTCCGTTTGGATCAGCTACGTAAAGCCCCGTCCCGGCATATGAAATCCACGCGGGGCACATTTAGTATTACTATAAAGTACATAGATTTCGGTATTCACGTAGCCCTGGCGCACACTGATCATTACATTAAACATAATCAACAGCAAAAATGACCACACTACAGCCTGTAACATCAGTCCTCGTGGCAGAAACGTCAGAAGGCCTACAGGCGTCAGTAGGCCTACAGGCGTTTCTCGGAGCTGAGCCTCCTCATCAACACATCCTTCCACTCAGACTTGAACCTATGAGTGAGGTCCTTTTCAAAAGCAGCTGAATGAGCTGGGCCTTGCGTCTGTGCAGAATACTGCGCCCCTGCAACAAAAACACGTTTCTGAGTGTGGAAAACAACCGGACTCTGGGCCTGTAGAACGAGCGCCTGTACCCCCACACACTCCCCTCCACACTCGCGCCACCGTTTGTACCATGAATATGGCTCGGTCAGTGCTGTGGCCGCGTCCACTTTTCAGTCTCTCTCAGCCTTCACTGAAAGCTCCAGTGTATGAGTGTAAAACACACACTTCGAACGCGGGGTTTTTCGGCGGACTTCAGTGCTTTGTAGTAAAATACACACAAGCACCTGTCACTGCCTTTGCCAAAAGCCTCTCACGAGCCGGACAGGGAAATGAGCATAAAGAGGCCGACATCGTGGACTCTCAGAGCAGAAGATGATCGTTAATACTCCTCTATCATATCAGCTATGTTTTATTTTGTGCCCAGACAACACGGGAGGGAACCGTGCCTGAGAAAGAGAGAGAGGGATGAAATGCCACCGGTCCCCTCTCTCGGTGTCATGGGAGGAAATAGTTACTTGTTGTGGAGTTTGGGCTGGTCTTTAATCGGGCAGAAAGAGCAAAAGTAACACTGCGCAAATGAGTGATACGTAGCCTATCTTTTTTATTTTTCCGTTCTGACATGGCTATAGCGAGAACACAGTGATCTCAACATGACCGCCTATGCTGGACAAGCTATGGAGCAAGGAAAAAGATTAACCAATGAGCTTACAGCAGAGGCATCCCGGCCCACCCCATGATTTGCATATCATTAAGAGAAATAAGGAAATAAATGAATAAATAGAGAAATAAATAAATAAATAGAGAAATAAATAAATAAATACAAAAATAAATAAATAAATAAATACAAAAATAAATAAATATATAAATAAATAAATACAGAAATAAATGCACTTATTCTCATAATTGCATGCATGTCTTTGCAAATTTTATCTTTTTTAAATTTATGTATTTATTTATTTATTTCTGTATATATTTATTGTTTTGGCAGCCATGGTCTTCCATACTGAAGACCTCTTGTGCTCGGGGGATTCCTGCGGTACAATGAAATTAAAACAGCTCAACCTCAGCTGACAGAGAACCTACAGCTTTCATAAAGGTCTGATTTTGTGGGGATTTTAGTGTCCCTTGTCATCCTGAACTTTTTTTCTTCTTAAATCCTTCGGTTTTGTTTAAATCCACACTTTAGTGCCACAAACTCTGCTCGTTTGGCTCTCGCTCTAACTCCCGCTCTGATGAACTGCTCTGATTGGTCAGAGCGCAGCCGAGCCCCTCTGTGCACGTGCGTGAGACCCGGTGTGAGACCCACACACGCGTGTTTGGCGCAACGCATTATGGGAGATCATCCACTGCGCAGAACCGGGAGGACCAGACGATGCCCAAATACAGGCGAGTTTCCCATGGATCTTTGCGAGTTCCAGGCAACTTCCACTAATCTTTCAGCCCTCATGCCGGCACAAAGCGCCACCGAGCACAACTATTCATTTGAATAGGGCGCCATCTTGGATCGCCGGGGCTTGGCTGTTACCATGGATCTATTATAATAACTGGATAGGGTATTACTAGCTTGTAGCTGAATAACTCATGTGCTCTGAGGATTCTCGCGGTACTGCAGACTAGAGTTTCGTTCGGGCCTGAAAAATGAAGCCCGACCCGGCCCGAGCCCGCTAATGTTAAGCCCGAGCCCGTATAAGGCCGACCAATGAACGCTGTATAACAGGCCCGAGCCCGACAGAACCCGACACATCTGATTTCCCGTTGTATGCACTCACCTTCCAATTGCAAGTTCAGTCTCCACTTTTGAATTTGTTTTGTCTCCACTTGATCCATTTCTACTATTGTTCCTGTTCGCTGTTGACCACAGCAGCAGGAGACACGGGGATGATGCGTTCACGGCTCGCTGCTGCTGTAGGACACGCTGGTTACGGTGTCATTAATATATTAACTTTTTTAAATAAATTGTTGTCAATCAACGGACATTGTTATTAATATATATATATATATATATATATATATATATATATATATATATATATGTGGGGCGTGCAATATTATTGGCCCCTTTACTTTCGGTGCAGCAAACTCAGTCCAGAAGTTCAGTGAGGATCTTTGAATGATCCAATGTTGTCCTAAATGACTGATGATGATAAATAGAATACACCTGTGTGTAATCAAGTCTCCGTATAAATGCACCTGCGCTTTGATAGTCTCAGGGTTCTGTTTAAAGCGCAGAGAGAACCATGAAGACAAAGGAACACACCAGGCAGGTCCGAGATACTGTTGTGGAGAAGTTTAAAGCCGGATTTGGATACAAAAAGATTTCCCAAGCTTTAAACATCTCAAGGAGCACTGTGCAAGCAATTATATTGAAATGGAAGGAGTATCAGACCACTGCAAATCTACCAAGACCCGGCCGTCCCTCTAAATTTCATCTCAAACAAGGAGAAGACTGATCAGAGATGCAGTCAAGAGGCCCATGATCACTCTGGATGAACTGTAGATAACTACAGCTGAGGTGGGAGAGTGTGTCCATAGGACAACAATCAGTCGTGCACTGCACAAATCTGGCCTTTATGGAAGAGTGGCAAGAAGAAAGCCATTTCTCAAAGATATCCATAAAAAGTCTCGTTTAAAGTTTGCCACAAGCCACCTGGGAGACACACCAAACATGTGGAAGAAGGTGCTCTGGTCAGTTGAAACCAAAATCGAACTTTTTGGCCACAATGCAAAACTATATGTTTGGCGTAAAAGCAACACAGCTCATCACCCTGAACACACCATCCCCACTGTCAAACATGGTGGTGGCAGCATCATGCTTTGGGCCTGCTTTTCTTCAGCAGGGACAGGGAAGATGGCTAAAATTGATGGG